TATATATATATATATACATACACACAGATTGGTCTTCTCTAGACCTCTATTTGGTAAAAAAACACATTTATTTAAAATGACCTGATCACAATATATTTTATACACTATTGCTTTCCAGACGTCGGCTCGTAGGATGGGAACGTCCCTGCTCTTCCAGCTGTCGGTTCATGAGCGAGAGTTGGACCTCGTGTTTCTTGACCACAGCTATGCCAAACCCTGGAATGCCCACCCGGATGCCAGCAGCGCGCGGCCCACCCGCATGCTGTTCGTCACCCCGCGGCGGCAGCCGGAGCCTTCTGTGTGAGTGAAGAATTCTGGATTATCAGTGGCGGGAGATATTTTGCCTGGTTTACACTTGGAATTGACACCTGTTTTGGGTGATCTGATCACAAGTTATCAAGTGCAAGTTAGCATCTCAAATCATTTCTCCTGGAGCTCAAATGTGTCTGATAATAGTGTAGCGCACTAGCGCTGTCTGCTTGTGATCAGATTGCCTGAAACAAATGTTACATCACTGGTTTGCAACTATGTTCATTATTTAGATTATTTTATTTAGGGCCCTATGGATTCCAAAATGAATTCCGCTTGTTTGTTTTAATTAATTAATTCATTGCAGGGTTGATGTTTACGGTGCAAGCGTCCCATTTTTGCAGGAACCGCAGAGCCTCCGTGTGGGGCCTGAGGACCATGTTCCGTCCTGGAGGAGAGAGAGACTTCCAGACGTCGGCTCGTAGGATGGGAACGTCCCTGCTCTTCCAGCTGTCGGTTCATGAGCGAGAGTTGGACCTCGTGTTTCTTGACCACAGCTATGCCAAACCCTGGAATGCCCACCCGGATGCCAGCAGCGCGCGGCCCACCCGCATGCTGTTCGTCACCCCGCGGCGGCAGCCGGAGCCTTCTGTGTGAGTGAAGAATTCTGGATTATCAGTGGCGGGAGATATTTTGCCTGGTTTACACTTGGAATTGACACCTGTTTTGGGTGATCTGATCACAAGTTATCAAGTGCAAGTTAGCATCTCAAATCATTTCTCCTGGAGCTCAAATGTGTCTGATAATAGTGTAGCGCACTAGCGCTGTCTGCTTGTGATCAGATTGCCTGAAACAAATGTTACATCACTGGTTTGCAACTATGTTCATTATTTAGATTATTTTATTTAGGGCCCTATGGATTCCAAAATGAATTCCGCTTGTTTGTTTTAATTAATTAATTTTTTTGGCAAATACATTTTTAGTAATCAAGTCTAATTGAAATCATGAAACGTGTACAATTTAACAATAATTTATTTGAATTTTAAAACGTAAAATTTTTTGACCCTTATATTTTGCTGTTGTATTTTTTTCATTATTATTTCTGTATAATATTTGTATTATTTTCCCCAAATTCTGTGTTTTCCATTGTTAGTTGCATATTTGTGTATTTTAGTTTCCATGGTCCTAATAAAGTTACTATTATTAAAACGTTATTGAAAAAAAAAACATGCATTTTATATCATTTTAGGCTATATATATATATATATATATGTATATGTAGGCTCTTTTGGAAAAATGCATTAACCAAAAAAAAAAATTGGTTCTTTGGTCAAAAAAGGTTCCCGACCCCTGTCCTAGACCGTATACTAGATGTCTTCTAAGGGTCCTAAGATCTGTACCTGATCACTTCTTACCCAAACCTGACGTGCATATTTTTTTTTTTTAAACAAAAGAAAAACTCAACCCGAGTAAAATACGAAATCCCACATCAGATCTTCTTACCTTTTTTGTAGGTGAAATTCATTCTCTCATCCTGCTTCTTGGCACTTTAGGTTTGGTAATTTACAGTTTACAGACAAGAGAGGAGAAGGGAAGAAATAATTATGATATCATAGAATTACTTGATATGTTTTTTTGTTTTTCAAATTGAATTTTAAAACGTAAAATTTTTTGACCCTTATATTTTGCTGTTGTATTTTTTTCATTATTATTTCTGTATAATATTTGTATTATTTTCCCCAAATTCTGTGTTTTCCATTTAAATTTTTCCATTTCAGTGGTTTAATTATTTTTTAATTCATAACATTTTATCATTTCAATTATTTAGTACATTTTTTACAGTAATATACCTTAATCAGATGTGCTTTAATTTTCTGGAACATGACTGTATATAAATTTATTAGCAAAAATAGTGGTAATCAAATGAAACCATAAAACATTAACAATTTGTGAATCAATCAATTATTTTTTTATTGAAATCATGAAACGTGTACAATTTAACAATAATTTATTTGAATTTTAAAACGTAAAATTTTTTGACCCTTATATTTTGCTGTTGTATTTTTTTCATTATTATTTCTGTATAATATTTGTATTATTTTCCCCAAATTCTGTGTTTTCCATTTAAATTTTTCCATTTCAGTGGTTTAATTATTTTTTAATTCATAACTTTTTATCATTTCAATTATTTAGTACATTTTTTTTACAATAATATACCTTAATCAGATGTGCTTTAATTTTCTATATATATATATATATATACATACACACAGATTGGTCTTCTCTAGACCTCTATTTGGTAAAAAAACACATTTATTTAAAATGACCTGATCACAATATATTTTATACACTATTGCTATTTATCACAATGGGAAGAAAATACTTTCCACATGTTTTTTAGACCTTGAGAATGAATGTAAACACAACTTGTTTGTTCACTATTGAACTCCAAAGACTAGCAACCTTTTAATTTAGGGCCCCATTAAATTTGCTTGTGTCTTTCATTTTATTTTTTCTGGATTATGTTTTATGATATATTACAATTTTATCATCAAAATGGTGTCTAATTAAATGTATTAATAAAACTTTAACAATTGAATCAATCTTTTAAATTGTAATCAAATGAAAATATGACAATTCATTTGGATGAAAAATATCTTGGTTGTATGAAAGTCCTTAAAATATTATTATTACTTTAAGAAGTAAATTTTAGTATACAGTAGTAGTAATATATTTCTGTCACAATTTCTTCAAGTTAAACTTAACTTTTATTTTGATTGTTTGTCATGCAGATCTTTCAGTTTTACTTTGTTTCAGTGTGTGTTTGATGGTAGTTTTTCTCAAATAAATGTGACTCTCAGAGCAGCTCTGGAGATAAGTTTACCTCCTTATATATTGAGACACAGACGCTAAAAACACTGCAAGCGTCACATGTTTGCGTTTGTGTAGTAGATGAAACTATGCCACTCATTCACTCAGACGTGCACAGATCATGCAGACTTATAGTGGCATGCACCGACTGGCTGCTGTCGTGTTTATTTCTGCTGTGTGTGATAGACTGTTAGATTAATCCTTATCGAGTAAAAATGTCCAGAGCTTATCATTGATATCAACATAACTTTTATCGTGATCTCGATATGATTGTTTATAGCCCAGTCCTACCCGAGGCTACTAATATCAGTATCAGTTGGATGTCAACAAACAAAAGATATGAGATGCATTGTTCCTTTTTAAAAGTTGATAATCCTATTTGTTTACCTGCCACAAAACCAAATGAGAAACATCATGATGGATAGATGGTTGTTCTAATGCAAAAGTGCTCTCTCTCTTACTCTGTCTCTGCTCTTCACAGGCCAGTAATGAACCTGTCTTACGCAGAATAGCTGTGGATAAATGTGCTCGTAAGGTCCGCCACGCTCTGGCCAGCATCAACTGGGACATAAAGCTGACTCAGTGGCTTCATAGCACACTTGTGGAGTCTTTGAGTCTTGCTATGCTGGCCGCTTACCTTGATGTACTGCAGACACTCAAAAGCAAGGTGGGATGCCTTATTATCATATTACCACGGTTTGTGTAGAGTCCATAGGAAGAGGTTACACTGTTTTTTATTCTTCTCTTATGACATCTCCACATTTACCCTTATAGGTACCATCCCTGATTGACAGGATGTTGCTGTCATCCTCTGTAAAAACAGGAGCGGCAGGAGCTGAGGCTCTTTCTCTGCTCCTTAAGCGGCCATGGGACCCTGCTGTGGGTGTACTATCACACAACAAACCAGTATGTACTGCACTTTATTTTGTTCTTTTAATATAATTGTAATAATGTCCCCTTTCAGGTCGTGGGTCATGTGTCTTTTTGCTGTGAAATATAAACTATTTCTTATAAAGTAAATGTAACTTTTATGTTGTTGGTGATATTTCAAGATGAACTCTTACAAAATATCTCAAAACAAATACATTTTTATTCATCTATTGTAACAAGAACAACTAATATAAACTAAAAATGATTAACAGGCGCAAGCGTAGGCAGAGTTTCTATTTATAACACGTGTTTGCAGCGTTGAGCAATGTAGCCAATCACAGACATATCTGTTGATTTCTGGAACGCAATGACCAATCAGAGGTGTCTAATCCACTCACCGCTCAAACGCCGGAGTTCCTGTGCAGTGCTGAAATTTGCGTGCTCACGAATCCTCTCATTAACACACGAATTATGAGCATTATTATGAACGATTCATTGTACATATATTCATTGTGGTATAACAGAGCTTTGTGAGATCGCGATGAACTGAGATGTCAGCTTTTTAGAGATTATAAAGGGAGCGCTCTTTGCTCGCATTCTGCCATTCCAAACCATGCACGCCGCAGCCTATGCTTGCTTTTAGTTAAAAATAACAGTGGGTTTTGAATGTTGATGCTTTAATAACACATATTTTATCAGGAGCGTTTATGCTGGGATTTTGTGGTTAGGCGTTAGGGTTGTGACGGTGAGGAAATTTTCCCACCGGTTAATCGACGTGTGACAACACCGGTAATACCGGTATCACCGCGGGGGCGTTCCCTCTTTTTCTAGCTTTCCTTCGCTTTTAAATAGCTTGTAAAAGCGGCGTGCGCATTTTACTTTCACTTTGAAATAGCAGCAATTCGGCATAAAGCAATTGTTAATTTTTAGTTCGTTTGAATTTTCCCTCTTTTCCTCGCTTTCCGTCGCTTTTAAATA